AGGAAAGGAAAGGAAAGGAAAGGAAAGGAAAGGAAAGGAAAGGAAAGAAGGAAGGAAAGTAGGAGCTTTATTTATGAGGAAGTGAGGAATCAGAGTCGGAGGTAATGCAAAAACTCCTTGTTCTGCTTCTTGCAATAATACATAGAGATAGAAAACACGCCTTTCTGGGGTCCTCGTTTCCAGTCACTTGTACAAGTAATTCGGGGTTGATTTTTGTCACTTGGTGGTGGTGGGTTGCTTCCTGAGATTTCTTCTCCCGAAAAGAGCAGAAAGTAACTCTTCTTACCCGCCTTGTGGTCACTTTGGCTGAACCCAGAGCATCTGAGGAAAGTGGAGCCAAACGCGTCCAATTCTCTCTCCGGTCGTAAGAAGGAAATCAAAGCACCTTTTCACCCCGGCAGGACAAGACGCTTGGCTGCCTGCTCCAAGACCGGGTTTATTCTGCGTCCGAAGCTGCTGGGCTGAGCCAGTTGAAACAGAAAATAAAAACAATGAAGGCTGATTTTTCCTGAGCCCCGCGTTAGGAGCGGCGATGTTCGGGAAGCGGGGGAGGCGGAGTTAGGGGAAAGCGGAAAAAAAAGCAACTTCAGGTTTTCGGGAGAAGACACAAAGTGCAAATCTTTTAAACCTTCTCTGAGCTTCTAATGTTTAGTTCTTCTAAGCTAGTTTGTGAGAGGACGCCTGAGGTCAGGTCCAGAAGCCCAGGAGTAATTCGGCCGGAGGTCACAAACTCTCTCCGCTCTTTATCTACTCCATTGCGTTTACCCTATCTGCTCAGCCAAACAAAACCCAGTTCTCCCTTCGTTCTCCGAGAGTGATTAGAGCCCACGTAGAGCCCCGATCCCTGCTTTTCTGACTTCTCTTTCAATCACCCAACCCGTCCTTGGGTTCGGGGTACACTGAAGCTTCCCTCTTAAAAAATATAGGCCGAGAAACAGTACGTGTGCAAGCGCAGCCAAAATCGAGCGCCGGTTCAAGGGGCTAAGTTGGCCTCGGGGTGCCGGAGGAGTAGGGCTAGACTGGTCGCCTGGGGAGGGGGCGGGAATAGGGGCAGGGGGGACACGCCCGGCCTGCAGACCTCGCCTCGCTTGGCTTCCCTTGGTTGGAGGGTAGAGCTGTGTCAAATGTGATCCCTGCCTGGGTGGTAACAAGACCCCAGCCAGTCACCCCTCCAGCCCAGACTAACTTCTTTCAACAGCCTCTGATGGTAATTACAGTAATCGAAGCTGCCATATATCTTTAAGCAATTATAACACACAAAAAGCCCTAGGGGACCCCCTGGCGAGGGATGTTAAGAACGGTTTCCCGGCCCCAATAAAATCCCACTTTCCTCACGTTGTACCCCGGCTGGCCAAATCAGAGGAGCTTTACAACAGGACCAGCCAGTTATCTCATGACCCCATGTCACCGTAACGTAGCTTGGTAGGGCTGTTTTTTGTTGTTGTTGTTGAGATTCTTTTTTTTTTTTAGCAGATTTGCTCGGCCCAGAAATTTTTCTCATCTACTCTTGTCCCCCAGGATCCTCCCCTTCTCCTTTCCCAACCCCCTCCGCCTAGAGTAGTCTACTTGGACTGTCTCTAATCAGCTAGAGGGCCAGGCATCTAGAGACTGGGTGGGAGAAGGCCCTAGAAACTTAAGTCAGGCTGATCCTTGAGGACAGATTTGACCCAGGAAGCTAGAATCAGGACTGGACGTCGGGGTGGGGGGGATGAAGAGTTTGTCTCTCTTGGTTGAATCACTCCCCTCGCTCCCTCATCTCCATAACTGGAGGTCGCTGCAGAAGTTTGCTCTTGTCCAGTGACTGTCAATTTCTCCTGAAATCTCGGTTTAGGAAAAACAACACGGACAACCACAGCAGCAATAAAAAACAAGGTCAACCCGAAAAATTAGCAGCAGCATCCAAAGTGAAGCAGAAGAGCAGTAGAGACTGCAACAAGTTTTCCAAACTTGAAGGACAGCTGGAGCAGCTGGCTTGGAAACCTGCTCCCTCCCATTTATTAAAGGCTTTTGGAAGCTGCAAAGAGAAGATAAGGAAAGGACGTCTTCACACTTTCATTTCAAGTGACCACAACTCCAATTCGATTCAAAAAACAAATGCTTGGAACAGTTCCGAGCTAGAAACTGTGTTTGGTCTTTGGGGGTACAAAGACAAAAATGACTCTCCCCCTCAAGGAACTCCCTTCCTCTACTGAGAGGTTACAGAGTGTAAGCAAAGAAGTAAATAAATATAGGACGTATAGGAAGTAAAAACAAAATTATTTCATGGAGTGAGAGAACGATCACAGACAGACACACAAGGAAATTAGAATTAGTCCAAAGGTAGGGAGATTGGCAGGCAGGCAGGCAGGCAGAGTCCTTCCCTTAGGGGCAATGTCAAGTTCTCTGATTTCTCCAAACTCAGTGAGTGGCCTGGGAGCTCCTCCTGCACAGAAGGCCTGATGCCCAGGACTCCAAAGCCGGGCAACAACGAGTTTTCTTGGCTGTGATGACCCACCACATGAAGAGGGAGGAGATGGCACTGTTGCCTGTACATTCTTACTGTCTTCCCTTCACCCACCCTCCAGTACCATCCCCACCCCCCAACTTCTCTCCGGCTTTGTATGAGCCTGTGGGCGCGGAAAATGTCTCAGTTGATCTGGAGATGGAGAGGAGACTGGGGTTAGAGTGGGGGGGGGGGGTGGCGCTCGGTGGAAGAGAGAGAATTGAGTGCTTTCCCCTTTTGGCATTGTGTGATATCCGAATTCCCATGCTACCCTTTTTGACGGGTCACTGGTGACTCTATAGGCAGGTGGTAAGAAGGGTTTGTAATTACACAGTCCCAGGAACCATTCCTTGTCGCCCACCCTCCCCCTTCTTCTCCTGTCCTCCTATTTCTGCCCCACGACCTCCTACCTGCACCAGTCTCTCGGCCACCACTGACCTTGCACCCTTGGAGGGGAAAGCTGGCATGGACGTGCCCGAAGTGGTACGGAATGGAAGAAAAGTTTACCCTACTCCAACGACTACATACACACACAAACACACACACACGCACACGCATACACAGCTCGCCTTTCTACTTCCCCTCCCCCCTCCGCTTTTCTTTTTTCCCCCCTCCCCACCAGTTCCCAACTTAATCTCCAGTCCTCTAGCTATGTTGTATATAGCAGTTGTCTAGTTTCATTTAGCGAAGAAAGTGGCGGGTTGTACTGATTGGGAGCAGTTAAATGGGTTTCAATGAGAAAATCATTAAGTTAACACTTTATCTAATGTCCTCATTGTCTTCGAGAAGGGAGCCTTTCTGAGCCCTTGATGTAAGTCCCTGCGGGCTCCATGGATCGGGGAGCTGGATTGTGCCCCACCCCTGGCCGCCGGGGCTCTATTTTGCGCCTCACCCCCTCCCCAGCCCACTTCGGGGGCGCCGAGGCTTGTAATGAGAAAGTAACTAATGGAGACTGGAAAGGAGAAGCTGGGAGAGAAGTAGAATCAGGTTGTGTGGGGGGTGTGTGTGTGTGTGTGTGTGTGTGTGTGTGTGTGTGTGTGTGTGTGTGTGTGTGTGTGAAGTCTGTGCCACAGGGGCGCCGAGTACGGAGAACAGGAGTGAAATGATTCTTCAATCAAATACCAGCTGTTTTTTTTCCTCCCCAATACTGGGGACAGACAGGGCCAAAGAGTGTGTCTACTTTAAAGAAACGGCCAACTGAGGAACTGAGGCTTGGAAAAAAGGGAAAGGTACTTCAGACAAGTTGGCATGGAAAGGGGAGGGGGAGAGGAGATTCTTTTCAGACCCCCCGGTCTGGTAATTAATGTTATTAAACCAGTATTTATTAAACTACTTTGCTAAGCTTCGTGGAGAGCGGAAATTATTTCTGAGATTCACAAAAAGTAAGGTGAAAGTTTTGCAACTATGTGGTATTATTGTTATTACTTCTACTACTGACTATAACAATAATAAAAACAATGGGTCTCAGAGCTGGGCCCCAGACTCCATCGCGGGTTCCCAGAGTGTTTCTTTTTCTTGTCAGTTTTTAAATTTCAAGTTTGTCGCGTCTCTCCATCACTAACAGCTTCTCGGGCTCAGCGGAGGAGCCCAGGCAGGCTGACCAAACTTTTTTGTCGTAGCAGAAAAGCGAAGGATGTTTTTGCTGTTCCCTCTACTGCGGCGGAGGCTGCCGCCACTGAGCCCATGGCTTCAGGGCCTTTTTATTCCGAAATGGGCCTCGGCGATTGTAGAGGATCCAAATAAATGTAGCGGTGCATGAATAATGGTCATTGTAGGAAACTGACACTTGCTCAAGGGAGGGTGGGGGGAAAGGTTGGCTATAAAATAACTTCATTATTTGCGTTTACCACAGCTCCAGTGCTAATCCCTTCTCAGGTCAGATTGCTTAGCCTCTCTCTCTCTCTCTCTCTCTCTCTCTCTCTCTCTCTCTCTCTCTCCCTCCCTCCCTCCCATGTCTCCCCACTCGCTTCTCTTTCTCTTCTCCCCCTTCTTTCGGTTTTCCTTCCCTTCTGATTTCAGGTCGTATTTTAGACATCCCCTGTAAAGTGTGTGGGGACCGCAGCTCTGGAAAGCACTACGGAGTATATGCCTGTGATGGATGCTCGGGGTTTTTCAAACGGAGTATCAGAAGGAATAGGACATACGTCTGCAAATCTGGAAACCAGGTACCAGTCACTTCGCCCCCTCCTTCCCAGATATCACTCCCTCCTCCTCAGAGTCTCTCCTGCCACATACAGTTCTTCTATTTGGGATCTTTTCCGTACTTTTTTTTTTTTTTTTTTACCTTTCATCTCCTCCTCCTAGTCTTCACCGGCATCAAGCCTCCGCCTGATGAATAGGCGTAAAAGCAAAGTGGGGGAGGAGGGACGTGGGAGGAGAAATAAATATGTTTTCAAGAAGAAAGAAAGGAACACAGAGGTTACAGTGTTTTTGACCTGGAGGAATGATTTTGATAAGTGGTAAGACGCTGGCAAAAGTGCTTGGAAAGTAGATCACAGTTTCGAACCCAGAACAAGCTTTTAGTTTCTTAAAATCAAATAACAAGAGGAAAGTGCTCTGATTTCGGCCTGTCCCCATAATCTTGTGACATATACTTTCTCGGGAACTCGTCTTCATTCTCAATTATATGCATCCACCCTTACACAAATCTGGTGCTGTAGAAGTTCCCTGGTGCCTTAAGGAGATTCTGGAGAGCTTTTCTCTCCCTCTAAACTCTGGACTCAGCCCGAAGAAAGGAGAAACATTTAGAGGAATTCATCCGAATAGTTCCAATCAGAAGATAGGACCATTCAAGATTCAGGGAGTCACGTTTCATTTGTAAATGTAGTTTTAGTGGAACCAAACTCTAGGAACTCTTGCACAGAATATTAGGGCAAGGTGAATGATAAGGAAGGTGGGATCAAAGCAATCTCCTCCAACCCCCAGACCCAGAGTGGGTTTTCTTCTTCCCATCTTGTGCATCATAATCTGGGCCAGTGTCACCTTGCACAGATCAAATTAGCAAAGAAATGGCTTAAGAAAGGCTTTTGGAGGCTTAGGGAAATTGTAGCTGGCATGTTCCTGCAGAATTCAGCAATCACCAATAGGACTAACTGAATTCTGGCATAGGAAGTGGGGGAGACCAACCAAGAGCCCAAGCCAGGGCAGTATGGGAATTTCAGAAAAGCTTCCTGAAAGGAAAAGCAGATGCTTCTATCAATAGAAAAGAGATGCCCAACTTTTTAATAGGCTTAGCTTTTCCTTTTCATTTCAGCCTTATGGTCACAGAATTTTCCCTCTCATCAGCCATTAAATCATAAATGCTCATTTCAGTGAATATAGAGCACTAGCTAAATGCTTATGGTGTTAATATGGCAAGAAATACCTAGAAGTCTTCATCATAGTACTGAGGGAATGATCAAAACTACAGAGGTAGTTGCTGCTTTCAGAATTATGGACATCCACTATATCTCTATATATGCATATGTGCATACACACATAAAAATATATGCATATAGACAAACACAGATACTACACTGTTCATTGTTATTAAATTTTTCTGATTTCTCTTTTGGGCTATATATACATTTATGGACCAATCTGATAGCATTATATTTTTAAAAATCATATGAATACAGCAAAACTTGAGGGAGGGGTCTATACCCCCAAATAATTTAGTTTGATTGAATGTTTCATTTTGTTATTGGTTGTTTTGCTACTTTATTGGTAAAAACGGATATGTATCTAATATGTACTTGGGTATCTCCATACAAGGGCAATTAGTAGCTCTGTGGATAAAGTGCTGGGCCCGGAGTCAGGAAGACCTGAGTTCAAATCTGGTCTCAGATACTTACTAGCAGTGTGACCCTGGGCAAATCACTTAACACTCTGTTTGCTTCAGTTTCCTAATCTGTAAAATGAGCTGGAGAAGGAAATGGCAAACCACTCCAGTATCTTTGCCAAGAAAACCCCAATGGGGTCGAAAAGACTTGGACAGGACTGAATAACAAAAATTTCCATACATTTATGCTTCTTGGGGAGGATTATTACAATCATAAGATTGGAACAGTGTCCTAGGATCATAAGATCACAGTTTTAGGTATGGGAGGGACCTTTGAAGTTATCTAGTCCAACACCTCTCAGACATAAAACAGTTAAGGAAACTGAGCCCTAATTGAGATTAATTGACTTGTCCAAGGTTACACGTAGTAAGTGGCTAACCCAGATCTTTTGACTCCAAATCAGCTTCACCATGCTGTCTTTTCCACTTGATTTTATTTATTGAAATACAGCATGCCACATGCAACAAACAGAATTGGGGGATTCAAAATATAGAGAATATTCTTTTAAACACTGGGAAAGTAGCCAACTCAAAACATATTGATGACACTGACATTTGTAAATGAGCAACAATGGGCCTTAGCTTGCCTGCTCTTTCCCCACTTTGCAAGGCAGAATACATAAACTGATCTTTGTCAGGTACCTTTGTCCCAGGCTTTTGATAGTGATATACATTTAATCTGATTAGAAGATGTGCATAAACACTAATGGAGGCCTTTAGTTGGAGTTAAAATGTTTGTCAGAAGAGTGAGGTAACACTTAATTAAATGTTAACAAACTAAAAAAAATTAGGAATCTCTTTGAAAAATAATTGCTTTTTGGGGGTCAGGGAATGTGTGCTGTAGAACTGCCCCAGGGATATCTCCCCCCAAAAATAATTTTTCATTTTACTCAGTTTACAACCAGAACTTCAATAATTAGAAATTACCATGAACCCTTTACTCCCTTTTTAAAGACTTCAAAGAGAGCTTCTCTTTATCCACCTACACAATAAATGTGTGGATACTACAATGATGTAACTGTATATCCTAGAATAGCACCCCTTTCTACCCAAAGAGAATATTCAGAAGAAGGACAAATCTGAACATTTAAATCCAAGTTTCCTTTATATGGATTTATCTGAACTTATGAAGCAACTTTTTAAAAGCAACTTTTATTTAAAGTGCATCTTCATTCCATTTTTTTCTATCATTCATGTAAAAGTACTACCATGTACAAAAAGAGAGGTACCTGCCCTAAGTGGATAAAGGGCTGATCATGGAATCAGAAAAATCCAGATTCAAGTCCTGTCCCTGTCAAATGCTAGCTATGTGGCTTAACCTCTGCAGTTCTCTAAGATTCTGTTCAGATGAATTGCCATTAGTAGAGGGAGTTTTCACACCTCAGTTTTCCTACACTGATAACATCTTAGGTCCGGATCAAAAATAAAATAAACACAGAGCACATTCTCAACTTGTTTCTCTCCATGTGTTTGTGAATAAATATGCAGTTATATAGCTATGAACGTGTAAACATACACATAAATATACACACCTATCATACTATATATGTATATGTACATAGGTATGCATATATATCATTTAATGATCACAAAGACTTGGTAGTAAAAACTTTTTAAATAAATAAGAAATTTGCCAGTTTAATCTCCCTTCTTAAAGACTTCAATCATCAGAATATTTACTGAATTAAATTATCCCTTTCTCACATTTATTTCTAATTTTCTAATAAGAAGTTTGAACTAACTTTTAAAAGTTAGTTTACTGATCTCAATACATACTGTTATTTCCTTCTAGAAATTATACTGTATGTTACAGTTTTGGGTTTTGTTCATGCCTTTCAATTCTTCCATTTTCACTCCTCATTGTGGATTTCCTTGTCCCCAGGTTTCTTTAACCTTAAATTTGCCCCATTTCGTATGCCACTTTTGTCCTCATATTAATGTGTATTTTCATAACTCTAGATTGAGTCAAATCTTCAGGAAAGCGTTCAAAACGTTCTACCAAAGAATCTATTTAGGAAAGCAAGGAAAGACTGAACCCGTAGGGAGTCCAGACCAGGAAAGTAGAACCTGAAAAGAAAACCTGACTAGACAAAGTGGAGTAAGAGAAGGAGAGATTGGGGGGGGGGGGGGGGGGAGAGAGAGAGAGAGAGAGAGAGAGAGAGAGAGAGAGAGAGAGAGAGAAAGCTGTAGCTCAGAGATCTGCCCCTACCTGGCCCAGTGATGGAAGCTTTCGCACTAAGGGTGGGGCGAGGAAGAGGCAGGGAAAAAAAAAAGAAGCCCTCAAGGTAGGCTGCTGTCTTTGGTGCTGAAAAGGCCTCACCAACCTCTTTGTCAGAAGTTCTCTATTCGAAAATTCCTTTCAAAACTTAGTAGTCTCAACTTGGCTCAAACTCTAGGAAAATCATCAGCTCAATATTTTTACTTCTACTCTCACCTCTTCCTCTTTCTCTGGCATTTGGCCATTTACCCCAGAATTCTGTACTTGTCTGACTGAGGCAACCAGTACTCACAACACCAGCTGACTTTTTCAAGCTCATAGAAGCAAACTCAGATCAGGAATCCAGCTATTTATTGCTTCTCTTCTCTAAAACAACCAAAAGGAGTTGTCTCAAGTTGGGAAACCCAATATGGACTTTAGCATTCAGGATATAAGACCTCTCCCTTCTTGGGGACTCAGAGGCAAAAGCAACAAAGTTAAAGGTGAAAATCAAACAAATGGGACAGCATTTTGTCCTTCTGCTCTTCTCCAACCTTTTCTTATGCATTGATTTGTTTATTTTCCTTGAATCTGTCCTGATTTGTCCTCCTTCTGTGAATAAAAAGCACCCCTCTCCCTCTGCCTGTAGACTCTGATTCTCCCTTTCTGTTACAGGGAGGCTGCCCAGTGGATAAGACGCACAGAAACCAATGCAGGGCTTGTCGCTTGAAGAAGTGTTTGGAAGTCAACATGAACAAAGATGGTAATCAGCACATTCCTTTATTCTTCTAATGTTGATTGAGTAGTAAGTAAATTATATGTACAGAAAATACATTGCATTCATATGCATGTAAATCATCTTCCCCAAACACTTCTACCAGATGCCTGGGAAGTTGTCCCAGTGTTTCAGCCAAAATCTCTCCCTTCGACCCTAATCGGTGCCAGTCCACTTAGAGTTCCCCCTTGTAGGGGGAACCACTCTGGTAGGAGGCAGTGTGGGCCATGAAATCATAAGACCTGCCTCTGTGTGCTTATTAATTCTGTCACCCTGGGAAGGTCATCTAAGCTCTCAGAACATCAATTTCTACATCTGTAAAATGTGGGAGTTGGCCTAGAGTTGGAAGGAATCCTAGAAATCTCTTCCAACTCCATCATTCTGTGAACTAGGGGATCTGACTCCCACTCTCACGAAGAGTCCGGGATCATCACCACCATTCCTGAAAGGAATGGGGTGGGGAGAGACTGCTTCTAAAATGCTGGTTGGGCATTTCCCGCTATCCTTGTGGGAAGGAAGAACAAGTGATCTCGGCAATATTTCCAGCCTCATGTCCTAATCCCCCTTCTCACCTCTTTCCGGAGTCACTTCTCTTTGCCTCCTTTTTGTGACCAGCCTTTAAGCCTATTAGATATCACTGGGACCTTGGCGTCCCATTACTCCTCATCCTGAGGAGAAAGAATGGAATTCGTGAAACAAGTTTTCTGAAGATGAGATTACGTCAAAAGAGAAGAAAACCCTCTTTAACAAATCAACAAAGGCGCGTTCTCCAAGGCTGCTGCTCAGAGATCCCACAAGGGACATTTCTGCATCCTGTACACAGATGAAGAAGAAAGAATGGCTCTGGGAGGCAAAGGAGCATCTCCTATTGGTTCCCCTCTCTCCGTGCTTCCGAGGGGCACTAGCCGGCATTGTAGCACGGGGAGAAGGGACCAGGAACTGGGACTCTGCATGGGGCTGGGAGAGTATATATACTACAGTTCCGAACAGTTTGGGGAATGCCCGGCTCGAGGCCGCTGCTGCACAGGCTGAGGTATTAGTGTTGGGGACCAGGGTCGAGGTTGGGAAGGATTTGACCTTCGGGACCAGGGCTAGGGACCGCAATCCCGCAGCGTCTAGTTGCCAGCTCAGGAAGCTCTCTCTCTGCAGCGGAAAAAAGCAGGAGCGGAAAAACCTGTTGAACTTCTGTATTGACAAGTTGTCAAGCTCCGCGGGCGGGAGATTGCCCCTGAATTAATTTGTTTGTTTAAACTGTTTGCGGTAATTGTCAGATCTCTCTCCTGCTGCTTGCCTGCCTGCCTCCCTTCCCGCACACTCTTCCGAGGCTAGCTCTTGTTCTCTTTCCTATTGCATTTTCCCCACTACACTCCTCAGGCGGCTGGCACCTTTCCCTCTCGAAGCCTTGAAAGCAGAAAGTCATTTCCTCCCGGGGGCTCCCCATTGGTACTGGCTCAGAACCGGCTCGGGTGCAGCTGCTGCCGGTGGGAGCCAGGGCTGCTCTTTGAACTAGGCCTGGGGGCGACAAGGCCTAAAATTGTTCCCTGATAAAAGGCAAGGCACTTATCAGAACTCTACAGTGAGCCCTCCTCTCTCTCTGTCCCTCTTTCGGATCAGATCCAGGTGACAAAAACACCCCTGTCCAATCTTGTTTGCATGTGTCTCCAGTTTCCAGAGGGAAAAAAAAATAGGCTCCAGATACTGAAGGTATCCGCTCCTTCGCCCCGAGTCCTTGAACCAATTCTGGGGCTCGGGACCTACGATGGTCCTGGGTCTTTCCAGATGATCCAGTGGGAAAACGAGAAACAGCGAGATTATCCGGGTCTCTAGGGCTCACACCGAATAAGTTCATGGAAAAGTAAGATTAGAGATTTATGGGATTTAGCAATTTAGATACAACCTGGTCCAACTCCCTCATTTTGCAGATGAAGAAACAGAGGCCAGGAACCGGGAAACCACTTGTCCGAGGTCACGCAGCTTGTTAGTGATGGAGACAGGATTCAGAACCGCATCTTCTGATTCCAAACCCAGAGTGAGGCTGATGGGCTGAGGTTTGAGTCCTTGAGTTACCAAACTTGTTAGAACCAAGCTCAGCCTTGTCACTGTCTGTCTATCCCTGCAGCTGTGCAACATGAGAGAGGGCCCAGGACGTCTACTATCCGAAAGCAGGTCGCCCTGTATTTCCGCGGCCACAAGGAGGAGAACGGTGCAGCCCCTCACTTCCCTTCCGCAGCCCTGCCTGCCCCGGCTTTCTTCACTGCAGTCACGCAATTGGAGCAACATAACCTGGAGCTGGCGGCTGTGTCCGGCACCCCGGAGAGGCAAACATTGGTGGGGCTGGCCCAGCCCACGCCCAAGGTCAGTGGCCCCACTCGAAAAGAGAAAAAATAGGAGGGATCAGAGGGCTGAGTGTCAAAAGTTCACTGTCTCTGAACTGTTGGTGACAAGGAGATTGACAAAGAAAGTAGGGATATGTGTTTTTCTTTTCCCCTTGGATTTAGAAGGGAGAAATACTCCCTGAAATCGGAGTATTCATCTTAACACTTCTCTCCCCTTAGCTAAGTTCTGGGGGGGGGGGTGGAGACCGGCTCCTCTTTGCTGTCAATAATACCCCATCCCTGTCAAAATTTGGATTTCCTTGTAGACCAGTTGAACAGCCGCGTGCCTTACAGGAAAATGACCTCCAAATTGGAGTTCAGTAGTCACTGATGTAGGACCTCAAAATTCAATCCGATTTAATTCAAAAAGTAGTCATTGAGTGTGTGAGGTACTGTCCAAGGTGCTAGTACTAAGAAGACAATAGTCAAAACAATTCCTGCCTCCACGGAGTTTACAATCTTCCAGGATTAGATCAGTTATTAACTTTTTATCTCTTAAATCTAATATTAGGCCTAGAAGCTGAAAGGGAGTTGCTCATTAGTTAGTGTGAAAATGTTAAGTTCTACCGCACCATTAAAGAGGGAAAACCCACAAATGCAAACCCATTTGGATTGTTTTGGCTCCTCTGACACCCATCAGTCACTTCCAAACTGCTTTGCCATCTGCAGACAGCATTTATAACCCTTAAAGGGTTTGTGATGTCCCAGAAAAGGCTAAGATAGTCACCTCAGGATTTCTCTGAAAGAAGATCCAACAACTGCATGGAGTCCTACACTGTCAGAGTTCACACACACACACACACACACACACAGAGCCTCAGAAAATCAAAACACCTGTGCACCCATACACAAACACATGCATACGCAATATTTAATGTTTTTTCCTTACCCCTTGATGTGTATAATAAGCATGGGAAAGTGCTGCTATGAATATGTTGTCAGTTGTGAATGAGAATGCTCTATGAATGATTAAAATGTCTAATTGAAATATTTCCATAACATACTAATCCTTTCTAAAAATATTCATATGCATATTTGTGTTTTGGATGCCTATTAATTTATACTTTTTCATGTCTATTTTTATTTACACAAATACAAGCTGCTCTTGTCTAAATTGGGAGCCAGGCCTGCCACTTGGCTCAGCCCTGTGTAAATTTGCTGGTGAGGATAGAAAAAGACTGAGAGACTCATAGACTATTCACTCTGGAAGAGACCTTAGCAATCATTTAGGCCAACATTCTCATTTTGCAAATGAGAAGACTAACTCCCAGCCAAGGGAAGTGACTCAACCAAGGTCCACCTCTCCAAAGTGAATGCAGCCATCCAAATAAGAGCTTAGAAATGAGGCCTCTCCCAAGGGGATCAAAAAAGTTAGTGCATGGTATGGCTTCTCATGGAGGGTTACAACTGAGAACACATAGTTCTCAAACTATATGCAGGTATTTTAATTATACAAAATATAAGTGTTTCCTTTTTCCTTAGTGTATCCTTTTTCTGGGAATTCTTGGTTCTTATGCAAAATAATGAAAGGTTGATTTCTTTTTAAAATGCTGTGGTTTTCTCACTCTGGCCCATTTAATCTATGTTTCCTTCTTTCTTTTCCCCTTCCAGTATCCCCATGAAGTTAATGGAGCCCCCATGTATCTCTATGAAGTGGCCACTGAATCTGTATGTGAATCAGCAGCCAGACTCCTTTTCATGAGCATCAAATGGGCCAAGAGTGTTCCCGCCTTCTCCACTCTGTCCTTGCAAGATCAGGTAAGTTTGAGTGTGCTTTGAGATCCTTGAACAATAAGGATTATAGGAGAGAAAACACAAGAGAGAATAAGAGTTACTAATCCCAGATTCGCAAAGCTGAAAGGGCTCTGGGAATATCATCTGTAACAACTCCTTGCTATCAGTCAGGTGAATATCTCAGCCTGAAATCCTTAACTGGCTAAACAACCACTGATAACAAAGAGTTTTGTGATGTCCAAAAACATAACCATGAAGTCAACCCAACAAACATTTATTAAGCATTTAGTATGTGCAAGGCAAGATGTCGCATGACATAGGGCTGACCTTGGATTCAAGAACTGGGTTCAAATTCTGCCTCTGAAATATACTAGCTTGATCATGAATGATTCACTTTACTTCTTAGCTTCCCAGCAACTCTCAGAGACTATAAGTTACAAATGAATTACTGAACTGCATCTATGTATACATCCATACACCAATGAAATTAAAAATCCAGACTCAAAAAAATGTACATGGACTTGTGCTAGATCCTGATGATACCCAGACACACCAAGGAAATTATTAAGATAAAGCTCATTTGGGAACCTCAGTTAATTGAAAGAAAAAAGGCTTCATTTTGAGAGGTTGCCCTTTCTCCTCATATTTCCACCAGTTAGAATGTATCTTTACTTCAGTCAAGTAGAATGAAGCTTATTAAGGAAAACATGTGTAAGAAAATACACTTTTTTTCTTGCAAGTGGAATTTTAAAATATTGCCATGTATATTTTAAAATTGTTGAAACCTTTGTGGGAAATTAGGAAAGGGAGAAATAAGATGTATTACTGATAAATAATGAGATATTTCCATTCCTTACCTGAAGAATTAGTCTCATTGCATTATGGTCATACTTTTTTTTCTCTGAAGATGATATATAGAGTTTGGGTCACTAAAATATATGGAGATAAACAGCAAATAGGAACCCAGAGTGTATTATAAACCTCCATAGAGACAAGAGTTCATTTAATTCTTAACTTTTTTTTAATAAATCCCTAAAAACAAACATTTCTCACAATCCTATGGTCACAAAAAGACTTTCAAAAGACTAAGTAATGTTGTACCTAAAATTTCATCATGCCAAGGAAGAAAATAATTTTTATTCATCTTATTTAAAATGACTCCTTCTAGAATTATTTTGTGAATGACCACAAAGAAAATGCATTCTGGATTGCTTTCTGAAGAATTGGCTGTGGGACTAGTGGCAAGGTCTAACAAAAATTATTAAGTGGTTATACAAGCAAAAAATATGAATCCTTTAAAAAAAAATAATAATAATTTAAAGATTTGAATCCTGCTATGCCTAATTAGGTTGTACTAAATCTCCTAAATATAAAATACATTTCCTTACTGAGATGCATGCTAACACATTCAAAACATTTAGTTTTTCTGCATAAGGTCTATTTCTATCACACATCAAGAATAGCCAAAATTGGGTGATATTCCCCCCAAATTTTTCAATTTGTTTTCTTGTACCTTATGTTATAAATTTGACAAAGCATTGATTTTTAAAGATTAGAATTAGGTATGAGTCATTAGGAGTATTTTTGATAAATATTTAATGAACCAGTTCTTCAGACTAACTTATTTTAAAAAAAAGACTTTCATTTAAAATGGGCTACTTCTGCTCATTTTGGAAGATAGAAACCATTTTAAAATGTTCATCAGCTATCCTTACTCATTTACTTAACATTAGATCCATTTCCAAAGTACCCATCTTTGTGCCATTTTTAAACTCTTCCAAATAAATGTCTAGAGGCTATTGGAAGTCAAACATAAAATTGTTTCTCTTTTCGGTCTTCAGAAGAAAACCCTACAATAATAAGTCAGAGTGGAAAAGGGAACTGAAGATGATAATTTGGAGACAATCAAATTTTGCTTTCAAGCTGTCCATGTCACATCACATAAAAATTAATGCAGTCTGTCCCTTTATGCTTATCTGAGAAATCAGGCAACCAACAAGGAGTTAAATGTGGAAACCCTGATTAACTTAATTGTATCACTATTTTTCCTCTCCTAATGCTTGTCTTTGATAAGTACTGTGGCTATTATCCCTCACATACATACTGTTCCTTTATCTTCTAGTTCTCCAGTTCTTCTTTAAGAATAAGAGTCATTCAGAGATTCAGTAAGCCAGTCAGTAATCCTTGAGAATTTCAGCGTTAATATTCCAGAGGGGTCACTTTAGATGGCATTCCAGTATTCAACAGTTTGGCATTTCATAGAGCACTAACCTCATGATCAACTTCTAAGTTTGGCTGAAATAAAAAGACAAGAAAGAAAAAGCAGACCTTTTCCTGGGAGAAGCAAACTTTAGGAAAATAGGCTGTGAAGTACATATTATTTTATCTATAGGCACCTTGTGAAAAAGATAAAAGAAAAAGCTAAAATATTCAGGAGAAATTACTAAGACAGGCATTTAAAACAGTTTTTTTTAAATAATGGAAATTTACATATTGAGATTGTTTATAAATTTATAAATTATACACTATATTCTATTATACATCTATTGTATGACAGCTGATGCTTTTGGAAGATGCTTGGAGAGAACTGTTTGTTCTAGGAATAGCACAATGGGCCATTCCAGTTGATGCTAACACTCTACTGGCTGTATCTGGTAAGAACTGCACAATTTAATGACTTTGTTGTAGAAATTACCATAAAAATACATTACTGAAAAAAGAACAACATGTAAAGAATAACAAATTCCTGCTGAACAATAGAGTATACCTGTCATTTATAAATCTATATTTAAATGCAAATAATGTTGTTTTGTTGTATTCATGACTGCTTGCATTGTTATTTAAATGCAAATTACTGTGTTTGTTATCATCCCAGAGAAGATTTTATATTAACTTCCATACAATATAGTCAGTCTACATGGAATCAGAGATCTCAGAGTGACAATTGAATAGATATTTATATGCAGAATTTTGTCAAAAATCAATATGAAATCATGAAAATGCCCTAATATTAGGACATTAATTTCACATTCCAATTATAGGCATGAATGGTGAAAATACAGATTCCCAGAAGCTGAGTAAGATCATCTCTGAAATCCAGGCTTTGCAGGAGGTAGTGGCCAGATTCAGACAGCTTCGGCTGGACGCAACTGAATTTGCCTGTCTCAAATGCATTGTCACTTTCAAAGCTGGTAAGTAGATGTGAACCCCTTCTTCTTCTTCCCTTCATTATCCCCTCCCCCTCCCTGCCTTTGACCCAGCCTGCCCCCTTCATGATAACAGCCACTTCAGAGTCAGAAAAAGCCTCATAAAATGGAGCTGATCTTTCGGACCCTTTGACTCCATTTTAGAGAGCCACGGTCTTCTTTCATGCTGGACCAGCTTTGCATTTCATCGCTGCTTTATACCGTTGCACCCACCTGGAGGTCAACTGACCGACTGGTTCCTGATCTCTTTTCTAGTACCTACACACAGTGGTTCTGAACTAAGAAGTTTCCGGAATGCCGCGGCCATTGCAGCACTTCAAGATGAAGCTCAGCTAACACTTAACAGTTATATCCACACCAGGTGAACTTTATTTGTTTAGAATCTTCTTTTTTTTTTTTGTGAGGCAATTGGGGTTAAGTGACTTGACCAGAGTCACACAGCTATTAAGTATTATGTGTCTGAAGCCGCATTTGAACTCAGGTCCTCCTGACTCCAAGGTTGATGCTCTATTTGTTTAATAATTAAGAATAACAATAACAGCGGCTATGGCAATAACCCTGTTTTTCATAGGGTATAGGTTACAAAATGTTTCCTCCTCCCCCCCCCAACATCATCTCATTTGCCTTGAGCATATCCCTAAAAAGGATCATAAGTTTCAGATTTGAAAGGACTTTAGAGATCATTTAATCAATCAGTCAATCAAAAAAAGTATCTTAAGCACCTACACAGCCAGACCCAGTGATGGTCTGGTGATGGGAATACAAAGACAAAAATAAAATAGTGCCTGCTCTCAAGGAGCTTACATTCTAATGAAGGAGACAATATGTACAATTAAAAATATATGAAAAATATTTACAAATTAATGGGGGGGAGCACTGACTACTGGAGGGATTTATCAATTAGTCCATGTTCCTCAATTTAGACTCAGAGGAGGTGAAGTAACTGGCCTAAGGCTATACAAATAGCGAAGTGGCAGAGTTTTGAACCAAATCTTATTCTAAGTCCAACACTCTTTCCACTGCGCCATAGGAAATTACTTTTGTAAAGGAGACTCAAGCTATATGTGTGTGTGTGTGTGTCTCCCCAAAAAAGCCAGTTCAATCATTTAGAATAATTAACCACTGAATACAATCAGTTCAAGCCAAAAGAGCACTAATAACAAGTTAGTTAGTCAAAATGATGCAACTGATATTGGTGCTTAGACCCAGCTAGAGTGAGAAAGGTCAAAAATGATGACCAAAGTCTTATGGTTGTGGACAGTGACCTCTTGAATGGGGTTGGATAATCCCAAAGAAATGAAGATGTCTTTATAGAGATGCCAGCTAAATTCCCACAGAAAAGATGGGCTTTCACACTGGTGACGCATTCATCTGGGGCTTCTTTAACCATCTGACTGGTAAGGCCTCTGTGATTGGCTCCATCTCTGATTGTGAAGGCAGCCAGAATGGATCTTCTTGATTGGCAGCCATGAATAGACATGGATAGCTTCACACTATTCCTGGCAATGGGAAGCGAATTCCAGGGAAACCTTGTTAGAAAATATAGTGGATTGGAGCATGGAACATCTATAGTATGGGATTTATTCTAGTTCCCAGGAAGGGAAGAATTAAACATGAGAACCAGTTTTACAATGCTTTACAATGACATTTCTACTTATGTGCAAAAAATAGAAGGCAGTGCTTTCTATCCTATGACTCTATGAATTATTATTAGCTGCCAGCATTGTTTCAGGATATAACCCACCCTGCTAGAGTGAGAATCCCTATATTCCTCTAAAACAGGGGTTCTTAACCTTAGTCTGTGGTTTTTGTTTTTCAAAATTTTGATAACTGCATTTCAATATAATTGGTTTCCCTTGTAATCCTATGTATTTTCATTATGCTGAGAAGTCCGTAAATGTCATCAGTCCACCAATGGGGTTTATGACACAAAAAAGTTGAGGGTTCTTGTTCTATAATTTATGCAAATAGTACACTTGGCTTCTTTAGCCAATCAATCACCATCAAATATAAATAATTTTTTTTCTACTTATGCATGACATCTTTTGGGTGTCAGAGAGATGGTGTTTAAAAAAACCCAAATACATACATTTATCAATCAATCAATAAACATTTCTTAAATGCCTGCTGTGTGCCAGGCACTGTGCTAGGCTCTGGGGATACAAAAAGAGAAAAAAGACAGTCCCTGACCTCAAAGACTTTATAATCTAATGAGATGATATACAAGTACTTTGAAGCCTTAAAGCACTATATTAATGTTATCTATTATTATGCCCTAAAATGAGCAAGTTTGTTATGAAACAGTTCCATTATATTCCATTATATTCAAAACCCACTAATCAGCCAAGTTTTAATAATCCAAATATGTGGGCATTTTAGTGACCCCATGTTGAGTGTTTCTACCCACATTGTCCCTTCATTTGGGAGGATGAGTTCTAGAGTTAGGATGAGATGTGGGAGCAAAGGAGAAAGAGGTATGTTTTCCCTCTTTATATGTCAAGGATTTTGACCATTTAAATAAAAATGAATAGAGATCTTATTCCAGCTACTTCATCTGTAAGAATTACAAGGTAAATATACACTGGTGTTGGGGAAAAAAGCACCAGATAGAATGGTGGCCACAAGATCTAGAGGGAGAGGGAAACAGGATATACATGGATCATAAGGATAGTCATGTTTTTCAGTGATCCTTCTATCCTTTCTTTATTTCTTTGTTTATTACATCTCTTGCCCTCAAAATGCTAAGTGGCAGGGCATAATGGGCAGTATTGACTGCTATTTTGTGAATTCTGGTGAGTGATAATTATAGTATCATAGACTAGATCTAGTTCCTTGCCACAATTGAGTTCATGTCACAGTAAATTTAGAGATGGAAGAGAAATTAGAAATCAAAATTCATTCCCTGCCTTCAACTTTATTTTGCATGGCACTTCCAAAGCACCTTTTGCTCAAAGATTTTTAAACTTTTGAGAAATATGGTTTAGCCAAGAAACAAATTTTTGAGGTATAGAATTTCTGCTCCCATTTTTTTTCATATGGAGAAAGATTTATTAAGAGCAAAATAGTTTTATCTTTGCTTACTTTTAGTTGATGGAAGGATCAAGGAGAGGCCCCAGTTATTCTGATTGCTAGTTCTCTATATTGATCTTGAAGGGAAGAATTAAACTGGAGAACCCGTTTGGAAAACTTCAAAGGAGTCACCACCTTCACAATAAGCCCCCCAAAATACAAATTCAACCTATTATAAACATTCATTTTTAACTCTTTAGATATGGCCAAATCTAAAAAGAGTCAGGATGAAAGACTCTTGCTCAAGTCAACATTTTTGTCTTGGCTGACATTACTTCCCCTCAGGACTCTTAATTTCTATTACAAAATCTCTTTTTTTGTGGGAGGCTGCTACATATATATACTCTGAAAATTATATGAGTTGTTAAGTAAGAGTATGATATTTTCCCTCAAAATTAAAATTTTTTTAAAATTAAGGGCAGGATAGGTTTGAAATCCATTTTTTAAGCTAATTAACCACAAACTAGCTTTCTTTTAGAATTGATTTTTGGTCTGAGTAATACTCATAGGAAACAATACATCATGTTTTCTACAAAGAACCTCATATCTTACACGGACTTTAGGTAAAATTAATAATAAAGTAAAAATGCAACAAAACAATGAAAGTGTTTTATGGGAAGGCAATTGTCAAACTACAATCCACCAATGCAAGGAAATAATAATTGTTGTTGTTCTTGTTGTTTAGTCATTTTCAGTTGTGTCTAACTCCACAGCCCCATTTGGGGTTTTCTTGACAAAGATACTAGAGCAGTTTGCCATTTCCTTCTCCAACTCATTTTACAGATGAGGAAACTGAGGCTAACAGGGTTAAGTGACTTGCCCATGGTCCATCCACTGCACCTAGCTCCCCTAAGTAATTATTATTACCACCAAAATAAATGGTTACATTTATATAGTGATTTAAGGTTTACAAAGGACTTAGCATATATGCTAAGTTGGCAATAGGGAAACTGAAGCTCAGAGAGATAAAGTGATTTTCCTATAAGCAGTTTATCAATGAGTATTTATTAGGTGTCTACTATGTGCTGGGTACTCCACTAAGAACTGGGTGTAGACCTACAAGGAATGAAACAATCTCCATTCCCAAGAGTCTACATTTTATCAGGAGAGACTGCATGTAAACATATGAGTAAATATAAAATAAATGCAAAATCAATATATTAACTAAATTCAAAGTAGTTAGGGACGGGGAGAGAGAACTAGAAGCTGGGAATAGAGAAACACTTTGTACCGAAGTTAGTTCTTGATCTGCATCTTGGAGGAAAAGAGGGATTCTGGGAGGTAAAGGTAAGAAGGGAGTACCTTCCAGCATGGGAGGACAGCCATTGAAAAGGTACAGAGATAGAACATGGAACATCAACATGTGAGGAACAAAAAAAAGACCATTTTGGCTAGACTGAAGAGTGCAGGAAGAGATGAGTCTGGAAAGGCAGATTGAGGCAAGCTTGTAAAGAGCTGTACAAGCTAAACAGAGGATTTGAGGCTAGAGATAATAGAATGTCACTGAAGTTTATTGAATGGAGAAGTGACATGGTCAGAAACACTTAAGGAAAATCACTTTGGCAGCAGTGTGGTGGATGGATTGAAGTGGGGAGGCACAAGGTGGGGGTGAACAATTTGGAGACAGTTGCAATAATCTTGGTGAGACGTGATAAAAAGCCTGGACTGCTGGGAAGTTGTTAAACTAGGAATCAAATGCAGGTCCTTTAACTCTCAAACCAGGGTTTTGTTTTTCCATCATGTCAAGTGCTTTCTCCATAGCACACAGCTTTCCATCACTAGGAGCAATAAAATATCTGCCTTGACCTGCCCTTCTCATTTTATGTTCTTGGCCTAAAGATATAATTTAGCACATTTAGAATCATGCTTGTTTTGAGATTTTCCCTATGTTGGCTCTTAGTTCCATGAAACTAGTGAACATAGACTCACAATCTCCCTTGTGAAAAATGAAGTAGTTAAGGGACAAATGCTATTGAGTTATCATAGCAAAGTTGGTATATCATGATATACCAAAGATGGTATATCATAGCAGTTGAATTCTGGGGTATGGAAATGCAATAGCTACAGGCTGTAATTTGAATGTGTATTCCAGCATCTCTCCTATGCTGAAGTTATGTGCAGTCAGCATATATAAGCTGGGAGAAACAGGAATGCCTCTGCTGGTGTTTGAAAACTGGCATTCAAAGCCATTTTAGTAGGGGAAGGGGGAGACAGAGACAGAGACAGAGAGACAAAGAGAGACAGAGACAGAGAGAGAGAAGATGTAGGATATTGTTTTAAAGGAGCAATGAAGAATTACGGGGGCAGGTGGGTCCTGAGCATCTCTTTTATTGTCATTATCAGTGCTTTTCCCTTTCCTGCGAGTGTTTTTCTAAAACAGTCTTATATATCACACCTTGCTACCAAGTTACCTGAGTTCTAGGTGTGAATTGCCCTTCTGGGAAGTGATCTGTCATCAACTGATGCCACAGTTGCATCCCTGCATCCCTGACTCATTGACCTTTGGATATCACTCTTCTTCCCAGCCCCCACTAGGATTGAAAGGTCAGTCCATCTGATCTGTACCATATAGAATACACAAGCACACATGGGCAGAATCAGTCCTCAAATATCCCTGCTCCTGGATATGTGACAAGACCTATGATTTTTTTTTCAAAACCACATTTAGAAATTAGTGACATACAACATGACTAATATGGAAATATGTTTTACATGACTGCACATGTATAACCTATGTCAAATTGCTTACTGTTTTGGGGAAGAGGGACAGAAAAATTTAGAACTCAAAATTTTTAAAAAAGGATGTTAAAATTTGTCTTTACATGTAATTGGAAAAAATAAAATACTATTAAAAAGAAATTCACAGTATTAAAAAAGAAATTAATGACACAGAGTAATTTTCAAACATACACTTCAAATCATGTACATGGCTCTCTCTCTGTTCCTGCCTAATCCAATAACACCCAAAGTGAGGTGCTCAATTCATGTTTTTGAATGGATTCGTCACCCCTTCCCTTTTTTGACTCAGGACCAGCCATGGGAGAAGACTATAGAGTAGATGATTTCCTCATAAGAAATCAAGAGTTGACTGTCTTTGAGAAAGTAATTGACTCCCACGTAGGTTTCTAATCATGAGAAAACTTCAGAACTTTGAATAACAACAATAACAGTAGCTCACATTTCTATAGCATGCTAAGGGATTAGTTTTTCTTTTTGGACCAGACTTGTAATTTCATGGGTATAGGAACTCCCAGTGAGGACACTGTCTACCAATGCATTTCAGCACCTGCTCTGTAATATGTAGTCTTAGAGGGTGAAGTTAAGTGCCTAAATGTGGGGGTGGGGGTCATACAGATAATATATGTCAGAGGTCTTTCTGACTCTGAGGCCAACCCTGTATCCAACATGCCACTTTTCAAACATTAACATTTACGGAGCACTTTTCTCACTGTAACCTCGTGAGGTCTGTAAATCTTATTATCCTCATTTTGCAGATAAGGAAATTGAGATTTAGAGGGGTCATGAGGTCCATAGATATATAGCATAGTTCAGAGCCTGAATTTGAAGTAATAGCTCCTGACTCCAAATCTGGTACTTTAACTAGACTCCTTTCCAACTGAGGACATAGTACAGTCTTATTATGGACTTTTAAGTAGCCTTTGACATGTCCCTGAGACTGTTCATCTCTCTGCTATAATAGTAAGGAAAAGGGTCAGTGTGGTATAGAGGAAAGGAAAGGATTGTTCTTAATGTTAGGTTTATATGGAAGTTTAGGAGTCATCTGTATGAATTTAAAAACAAAACCTTCAGCAATTAAGATTGAGAAATGGTAGCTTTAGATCAACTATCTCACTTCCTTAGGCCTCAGTTTTCTGACCTATAAAATGAAAAGGTTCAACAAATTGATCTTTGACGATCGTCATAGTATTTCTAAATGTTTTGCTGTTACTTAAGACAGATCTAAAAAATGTTGATAAGCAATCACCGCTTCCATACAGGCTGATTTCAACCTATTAAAAGATTTTGTTCCCAAAGTTCATATCTAGGTAACTTATTTAGAATAAAGAATACATTTCCCCATAGAAAATAAATTTACATTTTGGTTCCTAGGTCTGCCTAGCAAAAGCCTATGGTTATAATGCCTGAAATGTGGGTACCGGTGTTTCTCTGAGAAAAATCTTTTTGGTTTTCCCCCAAGAGACCAGCTTTAAAATCATTCTCCACTGCAGGCCCAGCAATATTCACACAATCACAAAATCTCAGCTCTGGAAAGGACCCCCGAGGTCATTTAGTCCATCTTGTATGTGGACAAGAAACTCCTCTACAAGGGCTACAAGTAGTAAACCACCCTTTACTTGTAGACCCACTTGGAGTGATGGGAAACTTGCTACTGAATCCTTCTGACTTATGACCTTTCCATTTTCCACTGACATTCATATTTTTTCAGGTCTTGAGTCCCTTGCCTATCTTCAAAAGCTCCTTCAGGGGGCAGCTAGGTGGCACAGTGGATAGAGCACCAGCCCTGGAGTCAGGAAGACCTGAGTTCAAATCTGGCCTCAGACACATAAGGCTCACTAGCTGTGTGACCCTAGGCAAGTCACTTAACCCCAATTGCCTCACTCAAAAAATAAAACTGACAAAACAACAACAACAACAACAACAACAAAAGTTCCTTCAGGAGGAAAATCAGACATCAATTCGGCAAATCCATATTAAGTGCTTATTGTGTGTAATAATGGTACGCTCTCTTTCCCTAAAGATAAAAGTAAAATAATCCCTTTCCTCAAAAAATTTTAATTTTATCAGGGAAAAACATGTACACATGTAAGAAAATATAAAGTTTATACAATGTAGGTACAAAATAATTTTAGGGAGGTGCCCTTAACCAGGAGAATAAGAAAGCCCTCATGTGGGGGATGGCACTTGAGCTGAGCTTTGAAGAGTTTGAGGGATGCTTAGAGGCTGAGATGAAGAGGGAGGGCATTCCAGGCTGTCCACTGGACAGCCAGTCGAAGGCAAGCAATCAGAAGATGAAATGTCTTGAAGGAGGAACAAAAAGTAGGCCAGGTTAGCTGGAGCATAGAGTGGCATGAGGGGAAGGACTTTGTAATGAACCTGGAAAGAAAGGTGAAGGTCAGATTGTGAAGGACTTGAAATACCATGTAGAGAAGTTTGGATTTTATCCTAAAGGCAAGAGGGAGGCATTGGAGCATTTTGAGCAGGGGAGTAAAATGGTCAGATCTGTACTTTAGGAAAATTGATATAATGGAGAAGACAGCAGTTTGAGGCAGAGAGGCTGATTAAGAGACTATTGTGTTAGTCCAAATGAGAAGTGATCCTCTAAAGAGGGTCAAACAAAGAGAAGAAGCACTAAGAGAGAACAAGGTCACAAGAACTAGATGGGAGAGTGTCCAGGAGATGAGGGTGGTCAACAGGAAAATGCTGCAGATAATTCAAGAAGGATGAAGATTGAGAAAAAGTCATCCTATTTGCCAATTGAGAGACCACTGGTAACTTTGGATAGGACAGTTTTAATTAAGGCAGATTGCAAAGGGTTGAAGTGAGTAGGAGAAAGTAGAAGCAATGAGAGTAGATAGCTCTTTTTTTTTTTAAAAAGAGTTTAGCTATGAAAACAGGGGAGAAATATAGGATAATAGCTTGAATGATAGTAGGATAAAGTAAAGGATGTAAGGTAAAGTAAAGTTTAAGGATGAGGAAGTCTTCCTCAGAATATGCCAGTAGATAAGGAGATATTGAAGATTATAGAGTAAGGTGGGATCAAATACACATGTAGAGGAGTTGATATTAATGAGAAGGATCACCTCCTCATCCAAGACTGGAACAAAGAATGGGGAATGAGGACAAGGAGATAATTTTCATGGTCTCAAAGGGAAGAAGAGATCAATGAAGGATTTGGCACTTGGACTTTGGACTTTGACTCACCCACTCTCTAGTGGTTTTGGTGACAAGGGAAGAAGCCACTTAACTGTCTTTGGTAAAGTGCTTGCTTTGAATGAATTCATATACCTGTCAGTTTCCAGTATGAGAGTTTAAACTTGGCCTTTTCACCGATATATTTCCCAAGGAATGATTGGCCTTTGCTTGTGGTTTATTTCCAGAGAGAGCAACCCATCTAACAAATTTTGTTGCTATCCAGTGATAAAGGAAACAATAGAGAGTACATTGGTATAGACCTGCAGCCTCAAGGCTGTACAGGCAGCGGAGACTTAAGCTTGTGCATCGGAGCCCAGATGGATGTTGGACCTCAAGAGAGAGAATTGTTCAACACTTTTTCATCTTTAATTAGATGCCAATTTCATTGACATGTAAGTTGGGTGGCATTCCCACCCAACAGAATTTAGTCTTTAATTTGTAATGTAATAGAATTATTCCTGTGAGTGACTAAGTATAAATCCTGAATAATAATTTGGAGAAACACTTAGGAATAGGAGCCATTTCATTTGAAGGAAGCAGTCTGGGGGAGAAGCATTAGGACTAAGAATCGAGAAACTTTTATTCATTCAAAAAAGCATTTCTTAAGCACCTAATACATTCAAGGCCTTATGCTAGGCACTAGGAATATGAAGATGAGAAAATTAGTCCCTGCCCTCAAGAAGCTTACTGACCAGATACAATGTTTACACAGTTAAGTAATTTTAAAGAGGGGAAACATTCTAACAACTGAGTGGAAGGGGGCAGGGTTGTTCTTTTTTTGTAGTTGAATCACCAGATCCTATAATACAGTAGGTACTTAATAAACACTCGGCTAGTATGCCTCCATCTCTCCCTCTGCAAAATAAGTGATACCACCCTTTCTAAATTCATTTCTGAAGTACCCTGTTATTAATGAAATCAGGCCAAAAACTCAGTTGGCACTTTCGGATATGGTTTTTGTCCAAATACAAGGTATTAAGATTTTTTTAAACAAATATTATCACAGGAAGCACTTTGGCAAATGCTCTTCTAACTCTCTTGATTTCTTTTTATTCCAGGTATCCCACTCAACCTTGTCGATTTGGGAAACTCCTGTTGCTTCTGCCAGCCTTACGCTCCATTAGCCCATCTACAATAGAAGAAGTGTTTTTCAAAAAAACCATTGGCAATGTGCCAATTACAAGACTGCTTTCAGATATGTACAAATCCAGTGATATCTAATCTCTGTGGAACATACACGGTCTTCAGGATGAACAGTGTCAGATGAACTTTTACCTTTGGAGAACAAGCCTCAACTAACAAAACCTTCAGGAAGCATAAACCTGGGAAAGTGTAGCCTTTGGAGGAAAAAAAAGTAAAAGAATTAATTGGCACAAAACTATTCCAGTAGATATGACCTGCTGCCTCTACAGAAGATTGTAGATCTGAAGAAAAGGCATTGCTTGATAGGACACCCAGAGTGGAGAGAACTCATCAATTTCCTTTCTCCCTGGGAGGGTCTCACGATTGTGGTTGCCACTGGCCATGCTATTCTATCACTCACCAGGAAGATGATTCTGATATAACAAAAGCCAAAATACAGTATTTCATTTTTCCTTTTCAGTATATGAAGTTGGGTTACCAAAAATTACTCTGGAGGTAATACAATGTACTGCAGCCTTCAGAAAGTAACTTAAGTTGACAAATTTGTTCTGAATATAGTGGGCAACATTCTAAATCAAATACTTCACCAAACACTTTTCTTCTGTTGTAAGACATCATCAAGTGGCCTTCATAATGAATTGAAAAGTGTTTTATGTTATTGATTATCCACCCCCCCCCCTTTTTTTTTTGGCCATTGAAGGCCAGGCAACCCTATCAAATCAAATGGTGAACACAGATGACTCTCTCATCAGGACTGCAGTTTGGATAACATCTCAAAGACAGAAGACTTTTACAAAAAGAATACAAGTCAAAGAAGGAAGAATAAAACAGCAAAACCAAATAAAGCAGAGATGTCTCACTGAGTGAGCTGATTGCTGTCCCATTGGCATAGTGCTGAAACCAAAGGCAATGGGGTCCGAACTCTTGGTCCAATGAGACATGCAGAACAGCAACTGAATATACACAGCATGCTAGAATGAACTTCAAAGAGATAGACACTAAAAGATTTCTTAATTGATAAACTGCTAACAGTCTCTGAGACTCTACAATGCCTTTCACAAAACTTTGGGTTCTAAGTAAAGCCTTGTTCACACACACACACACACACACACACACACACACAAAACCTTACACTATACGCTGCTTCTTTGAAATGAGACTATACTTATGGAAATGTAGAAACATTTGAAGATAGCTGCTGTACTTTTCATGTTTTGATTTGTTATTAGATACTAGCCCTGAGAAAAATCAGCACTTGGACTATCATAGGATGAGTAAAACTTTTCTTGTACAAAGTGAATTAACAGATTTGTGAAGTTAAAAAGTTGTACTCATTGTATTTACAAAGAATAAAATATATATTGAATTTAAATCATCTCCCCTTTATTTTATCAATGTCTCTTGCTAGTTTCTATCCCTTAGATACAAAGTGATATCAACACTTACTGTTAAATACCTAGAACTCAGATTATGCTCCACACTGGATGTCCAAAGGATTGTGTGACAAAAGACTCTTATTCTTTTTAAATAGTGAATCTCATGTATAAAAATCATAAATAAAGAAATAAAACAAAAACTATTCTCTACATCTCTCAACTAGAACTGCATCTGTAGGGGAAAGTTACTATGTGAGAAAGTAGCTGATTAAAACAGGTTCTGTTCATTTCTAAATTTCTCACTATCTTGCCAACATTTCAATCCTGGCCATGAATTTATTTTTTCAATAATCAGAAAAAAATCATGCAAAGCTAGACAGAGTGAGTGGATAGTGAGAGATAAGAGGTGACTGGAGGAGAAACAGCAAGAGAAAGGGCAAATGGACTTCAGATCCAGATGTTCAAAACTGCAGGTCATCAGCACTTTCTTCAGAGGGAATAGAGGTAGAATAAATGGAGAAAATCTCGCAGCCCTCTATTCTACTGTTTGTCATCATTCCTAGGAAAGGTTTACTTACTGAGGGAATTGAAACTATTGATTAAAATGAAGACTGGAGATGACATGCTGATTTCAATTCATCTTGTTCTCCATAGTCATCATGATCATAGCTAAATGAGAGCTGGCCTTAAAGAGAAAAAGGGTGAGATTCACTACAAGATTCCCCAAATTGCCGGGCACCCAGAACAGGAATCACCTCAATTTCTGGCAACTCTGATTTACTTTTAAAGACTCAAATGTTGCTAAATCATACACTTCACCAAATGCTTTCTTTCTGTTGTAAGACATTATCAAGTGGCATTCATGGTGGATTGAAATGGGTTGATTTTGTTATTTAATCTTTTTCTCTTTTTTGGCCATTGCAGGCCAGGCAACCCTATCAAACCAACTGGTAAACACAGATGACCATTTTCTTGGAGGTGGCTAGGCTCCTGCTGGGGAGTCTCCTTGTAACAAAAAAAAAAAATCTTGTGGGTCCGCAACTTAATAAACCAACCTTCTATGTTTAAGTATCATATAATGAATTCTGTTTGGTACTTCAGCAATGAAATATCCTTGATTAGGTTTCAAGACAGAACTCACACATACTAAACTCCATGAAAGTATGGACCATGGCATAGTCTTTTTTCCAACTTTCCCAGGATCTGGCACAATTAAATGAATAAATGAATGAATACTAAATTCTCTCTAGTTTAGGTCATACTAAGGTTCTAGCACGTTCTTGCAATGACAACTTTCCAAGTAAATAAATTCTTTTCATCATTTATTTCTTTATTAATATTATTCAACTGAATACTAGGGAAAATGAAAAAAAGCTGAGGCAAGACACAGTACTTGCCTTCAGGTATCTTACAATCTAGTAGAGGGAATTTGATATATTTTGTTAATGTCCAAGAAAGCAGGGATGGAAATAATGTCTGATGATCCACAACAGTCTAAGATCAGTGATTAGTATCTCTCTTCTGACACAGTCAGTATCTATACATATAAAAGGGATTTCACATACCCCAGACAAAATATGGGATTTTCGCATCTCTGAGTGGCAATGACATAACTACAGTAAGGAGCTGGGAGGCATCAGACCCTATATGGACATACCCTAAACTTGATTATTAGAAGTAGCTGTTAATTCTTTTCTTTTTTGCTTTTTAATTTTTTTTACTTATTTTAAATTTTTCATTCTTTTCAATTATTGAAAACCCGTTATCCATCTTCCCATCTCTCCTCCCAAATTGAGAAAGAAAAACAAAACCCTTTTGCAAACATGTATTGTTAAGCAAAATAAATTCTCCCATTGGTCATATTCAAGGGGGAAAAAATATCTCTATCTGCCCTTGAGTCTATCACTTCTCTTTCAGGAGGCAGATAGTGTCCCAGTGAGTCCACTAGAATCACAGTTCGTCATTGCATTGATCAGAGTTCTAAAGTCTTTCAAAGTCATCTTTACAGCTGTGTTGTCATTGTATAAATTGTTCTCCTGGTTCTGCTCATTTCACTCTGCATTAGATCATACAGATTTCCCCAGGTTTCTCTGAAACCACCCTCTTTATCATTTCTTATAGCATGGCAGCATTCCATCATATAATTTATTCAGCCATTCCCCAGTTGATGGATACCCTGTCAGTTTCCAATTCTTTGCCACCACAAAAACTGCTGCTATAAATAATTTTGTTCACATAAGTCCTTTTCATCTTTCTTTCATCTCTTTGGGATATAGACCCCATAGTGGTATCACTGGATCCAAAGGTTATGCACAGTTGAATAACTTTTGAAGAAGAGTTCCAAACTGCCTTCCAGAATGGCTACACCAGTTCACAGCTCCGTCAACAGTGCCATTAATAAACCTGTTTTTCCACAGCCCTTCCAGCATTTGTCATTTCCTTTTTTCATGTTGTTTGCCATCAGATGAGTGTGAGATGGAATCTCTGAATTATTTTAATTTCTGTAATTATTAATGATTTAGAGGATTTTTCATGTGGCTTGTTTTTTTTTTCTCTGGAAATTGTCTGTTCATATCCTTTGACCACTTATCAATTGGGGAATGGTTCCTATGCTTATAAATTTGAATCCATTCCCTCAGAAATGTGACCTCTATCAGTGAGACTTGTTGCAAGGATTTTTTTTTCACTTTTGCCTACTTCTCCTCTAATTTCATTTGTATTGGTTTTGTTTGTGCAGAGACTTTTTAAATTTTATAGACCCAAAATTGTCCATTTTATCTCTTGTGAGACTCTCTCTTATTTGTTCATGAACCTCTTCTGTTATCCATAAAGCTAAAAGCCAATTTCTTCCTTGCTCCTCTAATCTGTTTATGATGTCACCTTTTATGACCCCAAACTCTCTATATGATCTCATCATTAAAAAGAAAATCACTACATCTTGCTTTGGTGGGAGATGATATTGTAGCACATGCTGTATTGTTGGGATTCTTGTGAGGGGCTTTTGTTTTATTTTGTTTTCAAATGGATTGGGGCATCCAAGAGGAGAGGATAAATTGAAACCAAAATTATTTCCCTTAAAGCAAAGGATTTCAAGTCCAAACTAGAAACTAATGATTGAATGTTTCTGCTATTGACTCAACTTATTGGCTCTGTCCTTCATGTACCTTCTTCAAGAATCAAGAAAAATCAAGAAAAAAAATCAAGAAAAAATATCTAAGGATTAAGAAGTTTGACTTGTACATATTTTGGCTTAGACTACAAAGTCCTTAGTTAGATGGCTGCTTCATGGGCACTGTGCCCTTTTAGCAAAATAAAGGGAAATGTATTTCTTTCTAATTGCATTTCAAAATGTCTTCTTTTCAAATATTTGAATTCAGATCTTAGCCAAAATGACTCCTAAAATAATAAGTAACTTTCAGAGTGTGCCCATAGGCAACCAGGTGGAACAGTGGATAGAGCACTGGGCCTGAAGTCAAGAAGACCTTACTTTAAATCTGGTCTCAGAAACTTACTAGTCAGGAGACTTTGGGGAAGTCACAACCTCTCTTAGCCTCAGTTTTCTCAGCTCTAAAATGGGGATAATAATAACACCTACCTTACAGGGTTGTTGTAAGGACCAAAATGAGATATTTGGAAATCCCTTAGCACAGTGCCTGGAATAGGGTAACACTTAATCAATGTTTGCTTCTTTCTTTCCATGAA